ATGTCTTCTTGGCTTTTAAAGAGGAAGCGATGCAGATGTATTCCCCAGCTGTCATCAACAGAGGTGACAGAAATATTCACAAACTGCCATCTTGTGTAGTTATTTAGTGTAGTAATTTTTAAAATAAAAAGGGATTCAATTATTATTTTACTGAAAATACTTGCTTATTTGTTTGATCCACCTTCCAGTGTTATTTCAAGAACAACAACAGCAACAACAGTCTGCTCCTTTTGTGAGTGCATACCTCAGCAGTCTCCAAATCAGCTCTACAAGTCAGCAGTCTGTCTTCACGTTCCTGGGTCTTTCCATATCCGACATTGACAATGCCATGGAAAAGCTAAAGCATCAATATCACACACAGTGCTCCAGTAAAACCTTCTCAAAGGAGGAACTGGAACTCCTCAGACAGGATGACATGATGGAGCTGAAGGATCTGGTGGAGGCTGAGGGTTTATTTGTGCAAACTGATCAGTCTGGCGCCCTAACAGTGAACGGACTAAAGAACGGGGTCACCCGGGTGATGCAGAAAATGAATCAGTGTCAGTACATGAACCTTGCTAGAGAGGTGAGAGTGAGGGAGGAGGAGGATGTTTACAACAGAGTGGTTTGGTGCATCCTGGCAAATCACGGTAACTGGGAAAGACTTCCCAAATCAGCTAATCACCAATTGGAAAACAACGAATTAACACAAGGAATAACAGATGCACAGGGACTTATATGGGAGGTTGATGTACAGGCTATGGTGGCCACACGACCACTGAGCAGGCAGACGACAAAGCTGAAACGACTTGAAAATCTTCCAGGTGAGTAGATAGTTCTCAGAAATGTTACAAAAATGACCCGACTGATACTGGAGTTTGATGCTTGAGAGTAATATAAACTTCAATAAACAAATGTTAAGGTTTTGAAAGAAATAATTATACTAAAAAACTATTAAAAAATGTACTTGTAGTAAAAATAGTTGCAAAAGTCACTATAGGAACGACAGTAACAGTAAATAGTTTTGAAACAGGAAATGTTGAAATATCAATATTAAAAATATTAAAGTCTCTCCTTATCTGCTGATTTCAAATTGCATTGCAAAGGAGTGTTAGATTGGTGTCAGAAGGGCACCAATATAGCAAACAGTGTTAAGACTGATATGTGGCTGGACTGAACCAAATCCCAATTTTAAAACATCTATGCAATGTGTAAAAGTCAATGACAGCTTTATTGCTAAGTTCTTAAAAATACAAAGAAACAGAGGAGGAAAAAATACTTTTTCAACTTCTTAGAAAACACAAGGCACAGAGGAAAAGAGCTGAGAGAGAACGCAACAAAGGTCAAGGGAAGATTGATGAGACAGAGGAAAGAACTGGACACGAAGCGCAAGAGACGAAAGACCACCAAAGTAAAACAGGAAGTAAGAGATGACAGACTCACAACATGAAAGCGTGACAGAGAGACAGAAGATAAACATAGAGACACAGCTGAAGGAACAGAATGGGAATAGAAAGGGGCTTTAACAAACGTATCATCAGTTAAAGCAAGCAAGCACTAAAGTAATGGAAAACAGGAAATTCAGAAGACTAAGGAGCTAAGCTAAGTCCTATGCCAAAACCGAATGAACCGAAAAAACTTTGGAACAGGAGAAAAAAA